TCTTCAGAAAAAAAAACTTGAGAGGAAATTTGCCACTAAAAATAGAGATTAGCTTGCACTTCCTACACAAAATTTGACTCAGACTAATCAATAAGATGTCTACATCCTACGATGATATAAATGAAACACATTTTTACTCCAATATCCAAACAACTCCAGATAACAACAGTGTTAAGAATTCGGTAAAGATCTTAACAATTTTCTCACTCAATTCTCAATCTTCACATCAGAACTAAACGTGGGTCCGTACTAGGAATAAACCATCAAGGCTCTCCTAATAAATGTATACGGGGTATATGAGACATAGGTAGGTAAAAGAACACTCAAAAACACAGTGGTGACAAGCAATATAATCAGCTCCTTTCAAACATGTGAAAAGCTAAGTGATTTCATCACTTGGTCGCCATAGTTGCAATTTTAGTAGCCTGCTTACACGAATAGTAAAGGAGACAGATAGGTTAGTGATAAAAATAAACAGGAATTCATAAACTAAGGAAAAAAAGAGATAAGGCGCAGGACTAACGAACTTATATGCTTCTGCAAAAATGTCCGTTCGAAGTTCTTCATCTTGTGTGGCCGAATCTGCAGCAGCGAGAACAGACGCTATAACGTTTTCTGGGAGAAAAGAACACCATTGATTGCTATCATTTTGCGATGACTGGAATATCAACTAGTGGATATCGGAAAGCAGGAACTATACAAAGACGCTATCCTGAGAAGGAGAACTCACTGAGGGTGTGTCACCACCAGCTGCAAGAAGACTAGCAATGGCTCTTGCTAATTCTCGCCGACACTGCACATCATCGTCAGAAGTCTCATATTCCTCAACCTAAAGCTTACACCATCGAGATCCATTGAGCCTGCTGAACAGCAGCTTTCTTTATATACAACCAAAAATATTAACACATACATCACAACCATATAGCTCTTATTCAAAACAAATCCTCTTATAAAACTTCACCACAAATTAATTCCTGTAAAGATCCCAAAAACCGCCCCAGCCTTACAACATAATGAAAATAAAGCTAGCATATGTTTAATCATGCAACAAGCCTCTTTTTTCAAACGTAACTAATGAGCATAAATACCATGACATTTTTCAAACCCGATTTTCGCTCAGCTATGCAATCTCAATAAGTTTCCATAAATTTGAAGCCCATGAATTTCTCAAAGGAATTTCCAGCTGCTGCAAATCTATTAATGAATTTCCCAACAAGCAGTTGTCAATCATTGCAGGCGTATAGCTGACGAAACATCGGGCGCACATCCGGTTCGAAACAGAGCAGGCAATACTCCATTTCAATTAGCTTTTGCTGAGTCGGGTGGGCAACGTTTGCTTGAGTCTTACTTTACAATATAATTGCTTTCCTTTGATTGATTAACGGAGATCGTGTAGTTGACAATGATTCTCTGAAGTAATGGTCTCATTGGAAAACAATTTGTAGTCGATTGGTTTAGACTCGGAAAACACTTTTTATCCGTCTTTTGGGCCCACGGAACTACTGTATTTTGTCAGTTTTCGCACATACTACAATTATCAAACCACATCAAGATGGGACAAGAAATGATTGTTTTTGTCGTGCGAAAAAAGCGCAGAACGGACTTTAAAACGTCTCCACATTCTTATTCTTCAAAACACATATTGAAATTCTACTTCTGTTCATTCACATGCTCTTCGACTTCGTTTTCGTTCATCTGTGATCTCGTCAGACTAGGGGAAGTGGTCAGCATCAGTGGCATCATGTCATCCACAACGCCCTTCATCTTCTGCGCTATTAAACTCGACGAGGAATTTTCGAAAGCAAACTCATAATGATTGAAAATTCTTTATCCAAATTCAAACTAGGCACGCCGTTTATACTCTTTCCACTTTTGCTGAAAGGGTTAGCCCGTTGACAAAACAATGTAGAATGGAACCAAGATACAAAAACAGAGAGAAAATAGTCCTTCTTCAAAATGGTACATAATGAGCTAACAACTACAAATGTAGCACGATGCGGCAACTTCAATGGAAACTTACCTTATTTAAGAATGTACACGCTTGAAAGTATTGATGACCCGATGATTCACAAAAATCCTGGAATAGCAGCTTTCCAATCGGTTGGCGCTCGACTACGTATGAATAGCTGAAATATGAAACAATGAATGAAAGAATCGCTCCAATTTTCATCGTCTGGAATGGGCTCTTTCATAAACAAACATACTTTCAGACATACGTAAGAGAATCCAATGGTAAGCAAAAATTGATCTCAGACGAGAGTTGAACTCGCGTTCCACTCATACCGGTAACTCGTGCTACCACTACACCACCGAGCCCTCAGCATGAGTGAAACGCGATTCCAACTCCCGTCTGAGGTCAAGTGTTTACCTACCACTCAAGTCCTTTAGGTACGTCTGAAACATCATGACATGGCGAAAAAAACAGTAAAAGAATAAGAAATCTCGGATGTATATAAACATAGTTCAAGTGTTACATAAACTGGAACTAGGTTACTCCACGAAAAGGAAAATTTTCCAGAGCCTAAGTGAAAGAGTTACAGGACTGTAGGAAGGGAAGACCTGAGGACTACCCACAAACATTAAGTCATGGCGAAGTGTAGGTCTTAACCCTTACGGGAAGGCAGTTGATCGTTCCCACAGTGCAATTCGCAAAAGGCGTGCGATTTTCGCTATTTAATCAAGGTTTTTCCCCCACTTGAAGAGTGGGATCATAGGCTTTTTATGTTACTCTAATACTGCATGATTTACCCTACATGACCATATATTTTTAGCGTATATATAACCTTTATGTACGATAAAAACTGCAAGCGCGAAACGCAATCTTCTTATTACTTTTATAGCGTTTTATGATAAGTTTTCGTAAAACCAATTGTGGCATCGAAATCCTCGAGATTTGGGCTATCGAATGATCACTAAGAGCTCGATGAAGAGCCATACACAAGCTCGCAAAGAAACCAAACTGAATGTGAAATATATTTATTTTCGCTGCTACAACATAACAAAAAAGCTTCTTCAGAAAGCAAACATACTGCTGAGATCGCAGAGATTTAAGCTATCGAATGTTTAACAAATGTGAGAGAGAAAACCTCTTTTTTCCCCCAAGAAAGACCATCAAACAGTCATGTACCTCAGGTGGTACAAGCGGTCTCTTAGGGGTTAAAGGACGATGAGAATTTTCAATAAGTATAGCCGAATATGGAAATATAAGAGGAGAACAAAGTGCAGATAAGAAAGAAACATGCATTTCATTGAAAAGGATTCACATCACAACTCTTTTTTATGCTGATAGATGGATGAAGAACACTAGATCTATTTCAATTAATTACTAGGTATTACTCTTTATTGTGAGTGGAACTAGACAGGACTACATAAAAAGCTCTAGGAATTGAAGCAAAGAAAAGTAATTTCACTCAGCAATTGAATTAGTCTCGAGAACTGTATAGACTCGGAAATCGCAGAGAGAGAAGAGAAAAAAGGGGTTTTTCTTCTATTTAAAATATGTCAACATACCTGACGTCGATTTCGGAACGGAGAGGCAGGCACTCGGTGTAATGAGGAAACTGCAGATAATTCTTCCACTTTTTGCTCTTTCCCTTCTTTTGACCGCCACCTATAATATGAGCTTATTACGAGTACGAGGTGAGTGATATACAGAGAGAAAAAAAGGAATCCCAGAGAAAAAAAGAAAGCAGAGGAATTTCGCTTATTAGAAAAAGAACGAAATGACAACGTCAGACATTATTAGCTTACTCTCTCTGGCCTTGATATAAACCGTATTCGCCACGATGTTTTCGATTTCCATGATGCCTTCAGAGTTGGTTGAGATGGTTACTAAATAAACAGAAGAACGAAGAAAAGAGGGATGACTGGGAGAGAGACAGAGAGATAGGGAAGGAGGGAGGGAGGTAGGGAGGGAGTGGAGAGAGAGAGAGAGGAAACGGACGACGGCTGGGAGGGGAGGTGGAGGGGAGGCGATCAGACGACGACAAGCCGATGCATTGCGCGCACAGCACAGCTCAGCACACCACACCAGACCACACCACACGCCATCGCCACCACCATCGCCACCATCGTTTTCCTTACGATTTCGCTCTCTCCGACTGACTCTGTCCGTCCATCTCTTCGTTCGTCCGTCCGTCCGTCCGCTCGTCCGTCCGTCCGTCTGTCTGTCCGGCCCGCCGGCTAGCCGTCTCGACGCGCAGCTGCTGATCGATATTAGCTGGTGGCCTCGGCCTGTGCGGTGGTTGTCGTCGTTGGTGGTCGTTAGGACGACGACGACGACGACGACGACGACGACAAGGACGACGACATCGAGGAGGAGAAGCTGGACGAGACAGGCGACGACATCGCGCGGATGGTCGAACGGACGGTCGGGCGGACAGTCGGATAGGCGCACAGCTGGACAGGCGGACACGCGGATGGGCAGAGAGGCGGATAGGCGGACGGGCGGACAGGCGCAGAGGCGGATAGGCGCGGACAGGCGGACGGGTGCAAGGGCGGTTACGTTCGACTCGCACATACACGCGTATATACATACGTACACACACCCACACACAAACAAGGTGGTCTGCCTTGTTCCTATGGACGGATACGCGCTCGGCTCGGTTGTGGCTGTGACGGCGCTCGATGCGCGTTATTTTTTTTTCTTGTTTTGTTTTTATGTTTCGTTTTTTTTTTTCCAAAATGCAAATACAAGTGATCTTTGAATTCTGCCAATTCATAGGCGCATCATTGCTAAGCACTTACATTTGCTTGAATCCGCAATTTCATCTGTTTGAAGCTCTTAATAGTCGTTATTTTTCAAGAGTCATTTCATCAGTGAACCGTCTACGTAGCCATCGCAGTAGGTCATCTCTATCACTGCGCTATAGCCGTATCATTCTAAGATCTAGTTTTGTGACCAGCTCCAAGATTTCCTATATTTTTTCTCTGCTTTTTCGCAGTGCTATGATGCTTCAACTATACCTAGGAGAATTGAGGAGAATTTATAAGCAAAATCCGGTCTCAAACGGGAGTTGAACCCGTGTTTCATGTATACGGGGGAAGCGTGCTACCACTACACCACCAAGACCACCGGTTACTCACCACTCATTATTTAGAATCTTTCTATTATAGCTATCAGCCACGTGGTTAGTGAGTTACGTGTGGCCTCGGTGGTATAGTGTTAGCAAGTGTCCCCGGTGCTTATGAAGCTCGGGTTCAACTCCCGCCTGAGGTCGAATTTTTGCTCACCACTCAATTCTCCTAGGAATACCTGTAATTTATTTCGTTAACATTTCATAGAGCATGGTTTCTTTATTGTTACTTTGTGTCGAATCAAAAATTCTGAGCGGTAACAATTTCATACATGAGTAGAGTGCTGAGCGTGGAATGAAATTTTGACCCTCGACTGCTTTTACTGACTGATGTTTTGCGAATTCATAGCTTTCTTTTAGTAAAAGTGTTATCGATCTATTTTGCCAAACAGTAATAATTTTTGGTGTAATCATAAGTTCCTCAATAAATTGTTTAGAGACTTACACCAAGCTTGATTCAGTGCTCATGATTATTCTATCAGAGTTCAGCTTGATCACTGCGTCAAAGTGGTAGCCTACGTATGGTCTGAACAGTTTTCCTTCATCTGACGAAACAGGAAATCCCTGATTGACTTACGAAAAGAGTTTCATGGATTCATTATCCTCGACAGCGTTAAGTCGAGCATAAATTCCAATGAAAATTGGAGTAGGTGAAGCTAGAGATTTAGTTAAGAATATTGTTTTACGCCAAGCGTTTGTTTGCGGTTGTCACTATTTTGGTGAAATTCAGTTTTTCTCACAGCTTGCTAGTCGTTACTGTTTGTCGTCCCTTCGGTCTTTTTCGGGGTTCTTGGGTTCAAAGGTTCCTCTCTACAGCTAAAGATGTTTGAAACTACGAACTTTTTTCACTTTTTCATGTATTTACTCTTTCTTTTCGTTTTAATTCTTTGTTACTAACATTCTGAATATTAAACTCGAGGTTTTCTCTTACAGGAATGGTAGTGAACACTCTCTACTATTATCTATATCGAGGTGGTTGTTGTCACAGTAATAATGAACTTATTGAAGGTATAATCGAAGAAATTAAAAATTATGTATTTGACGATCGAGGAATTACACTTTCAGCACAGGGTTGGTCATTTTATGTTCTATTTACGCATCTGTTCATTGTTCATCATGCCTCAATTAAGCTACGGATACTTTTATTCACTAAATTTAGGTTATAGTGGAATTCCTTTGCAAGGAGAAACGCCGCTAACATCGCGGAGTGATGATCTATGGAAGATTATTGACATTCTTTTCAAAATGAGTGTCGAGTTTGAAGGTCTCGTGTATCGGCAAGTTTTCAAACTTGTTAGATGTAGTGGTAGCTAATGAATGTGTAAATTTTTCACGGTTGTAAAAACGTGTGGACTAGTTTTCCGATAACCTATTACTCATTATAGAACTTCGTAAATGAACTGTCATTCTCATTTCACTCGTGCCTCATGTTTGACATCACTGTTCACTAATTTGTGCTTTTAGGATAGCAACAACTGTCGTAAGCGACAACTTATTTCTTCGTGAAGCCGAACGAAACGAAGTTATTCCGAAATGGGTAAAATCGCCGGAAGATTTCGCCCAACGGGTAACGTCATTTCCATCAATTCATATTAGATTTCCGTTCAGTTGCTCAAGTTTGTGTTTTATAGAAAATTCGCCTGCAACATAAGTCTTTGAGCTAAGATTTACGAATTTCATATTACTTTTACAATAGTGAAAGTAATATCGTGTGGAGATTAACTATTTGAAATTCCGAGCTTCTATGCTTCGCGAGCAACTGTTCCGCGCCAGCACTGCGATCACTGCCGTGGAGATCAAAGACGTGTTGATACCATCCACACTGTAAAGTGATGTCTCATTAGTCACCCCACACTAGCCGAACACAGCTGCGCTGTTTGTGAGAGTCTGCTTATTCATCGCCACCTGCAAGACGTCGAGGTTGTTGTTGGAGATGAGAAGTGATTCTACTGCGAGAAAAACCCGGCTACGGTTTCTGAGTCTCCCCACTTGCGAGCGATCATCACTTCACTTGGAACTTGATTTATAAGATCGTGATATTTTTCTCACAAACATCGTGTATGATCTAAGAGCTGTTGGAGCTAGATCGGTTGCTGATTTCAATGAGTTGCTTGTTTAAGTAAGTGCGGTCTGTGCATTGTAGAAATTTGCCGTTTGATGCTGGAATGTATTGAAAAACATATTGCCTCAAAACCTGAAATCTCTAAGCATTTATTTTGCGCCAATCATGATTATAGTCGCAATGTTGTGCAATTCTGCACACCATTGTGGCTTTGAAGTAAAAAAGACAAAAATTGCTCAGAATCTGGCATTTGCATAAAAGTAATCGGCCCTGAGTGGCAAAGTTGATTATTAACCAAGCAGAGATGTTTGATAAGATCGTCGACACCCACTCGGACCCCAAGGCGTTTTCTACAAATGTACGACATCCGCTGGAGGTGACAAATTAAAAATTACCCTTACTAAAGGAGCGCAAGTGTCGCAGTGGTTAGAGGTGCTCTGCGTCGCACACGAGGTTAATGGTTCGATCTCGCGCTCATGGCTCACCAAGTCATCTATCCCTCCGGGTTCGGTAAATTGGTACCAGACTGGTCTCAGACTTGTCTGGGAGGATAAGCAGCGCTGACTCGGTTCAGCGGGAGGCCACCGCGAGACATTGTAAAGGCCAGATATGCATTCAGTCACCCCAAACGAATTTAGAATTGAAGACGAATGCATTGCGCATACCTCAGGGACTCATTAGAGCCGTAAACTATATCCTTTATCCTTTTACCCTTGCAATCCGCGATTTGACCAAAAAGTTTGTACTATTATTCATGATTATTGTACTATTCACTGAACTGGTTATGTGCGTGTATGAAATCTGGTATTGTAATCTGTTCCAAAATTGAAAGCTGTTTGAAAATTTGAAGTTAGCAAGAGTTCATTTTCTAACATGATATCAGTTACCGTTTCTGCCCTACTATATTATCTAAGCAAATTACATCAAAAGGAGGCTCCGTGGCTGAGTGGTTGTGATGCTCGTCGCGGCGCACGTGGAGCCGAGTTCCATCCACCCCCGTTCCCCAACTCTTTCCTGCAGTCCACAACAACGCCTCATGGAACGCCACGGCCAGGCTATTCTCATTGCAAGGGGACTTGCTCAACCATTATTCTGCGAAATTTAAGAAGGAGACGAAACAACGAATTGAATGTTAGAAGTACTGGGATCCGCACAGTGTAAAAGGAGGGTTCACTGTGAATACGGATCATTAAGGCAATTTTTAAAAAGCATAAAATGATGACGCTCTTTGGCAACTTATGAACATTTGATATGGAGTCCCGAGACATCTGTTAACTACATTCTCTGGACAGATTTTGCATAAGAATCGCTTACAATTCATTTCTGGACGTATTCGAAAAACATTAGTTAATTGTTGTGTGTGCCGCTCAAATGTTCTTTCGTCTGGTCTAGCATAATCATTGCACTTTCTTCTTGAAATTTTCTGTTTTCGTTTCAACTTTTATTACCTGCCTTTTATTTCTCGTGACAATGTGCGATGTGAAGTACAACTGGAAGAATTCTGAGATTCACGTTAACCGATAGGATTGAAATATAGCTGAGAAAAAGGCAGTGCAAAGGTTTCTGTCGTTTAGTGCGTGTCATATGAGCCTCAGGAAAGAGGGCAATTGCGAGCTCGAAACCCATCTCAAATTCTTGGTTTTGCTCGTATTTTGGCATTCGTATACTTTATTTTTATCGAATCATAAAGTCATATTTATAGTAGCATGGCATCCGTGTCAGTTCATTTCGTCAAAATCGATCAAAAACTTTAGGTCTACGGGTTCGATGGCGTTCTACACATTGTCTCACCTGAACTTAACGCAAAGTTCCCTGGTATGTCCAATATTGATATCGTGAGGACGAAACCACGTGAAACTCGAAATATTCTTGTGACAGAAGCGGTGAAACAGGTTTCTTCATTTAAATTTTCGATCAAATCGTACCGATAGATCTGAGGATTTTTTGTAGAAAAGCTTGATTTAGAGGCTAATGGTTGGTTCATCTCGAAATTTTGGCATGCAAAAAACTAGCGTTAACCTTCCTGTGGGATTGGCATATATCGCTCATCAGCGACCCGAGTTACTTAGTGCTGCGATCAGAGAGTACGCTATGACTGGAGGAGACAAGGAAATGGTATGTCTCACAAAACGCTTCCTGCATAAAACTATATATTGATGTTGTAAGACGGTCCTTTGGATATTACCCACATGTTGAGAGTCGTCGTATACCTGATACTGTATCGTTTTTAGTTGGTTGAGCGGTCTTCAACCGAGTGCGATAATGTCATGGTCCATGTTTATCTGAATGCTAGTGATTGGCAGGTATGTAGTTTTTTTTTCATATTAGTGTTATCTTATGTGTCGGCCTTCATAGAACTAGAATGCTTCTGATGGATTTGTTTGATTGTACCATTAGTCACGAGCTCTGAAAGGCAGTGGCTAACCCTTTACGGACGATGAGGCTCATTTTGACTTTCGAGTTTTCGGAGGTCTTTCTCCGCTGGCAAAGCTTTCTATCTAGACATTAAGTAATCAAAAGCTTAACTCTCGAGGATTTCGACACTTTGCTTAGTTTTTAAGAAGACCTTGGTATTACGCTGTAGTAGCCAAAATAAAACTATGTTTCCCACTCGCTATGCCTTATTTGCCTAGCTAAAGTCTGTGGATCGCTTTTTATTAGACTACACCAAGCTCATTCAGTAGCCTAAATGTCGACGAATTAGAAGCATAATCTGGTTTTTAAAAAGGTTTCATAGCACATTGTGAGAGGGAAAATAAAATTACGTTCGACGTTTGGAGTTTTCTTTGCACCTCGGAGTCACATGTGCAAAAAATAGACAAACTCGCAGGTAAAATCATGTTCTATTAGAGAAGTACAACGAACTTAAAGTATTTTCCAAAACAAAGAAAAAATTTCTTTGCTTGAGTACGAAAATCGCGCACCATTGCCGAT